TTACTGTTGCTTGTTCAAAGATCTCTAATACGCTGGTTAAAATGTATTTAATAAATTCTTGTTGACCGGTTCATAGGATATTATTTACTTGATATTTTCTTTAGTTTATGTCTCATTATTGTTTCGATATCCTTACATGTGACAGAAGGCTGGCACATTTATCTAGAATTACCTGGCTCCTTTCCACAGATGGGTACTACACTTAACAATTAGTAAGTCTCCAGTTTCCAGGTACCATCCCTGTCTCAGGATTCCGCTTGGAAACGACACGTAGTTTAAAGAACAACACTTACATTTCCATAGACAAGAACATCAAATCTGATGGCGTAGGCTTTGAGCAGGGTGCGATATTCTGTGCCGTTCTCCATCTTGTAATACTTGGCATATCTTCACCAGGGAGAGAGAAAGAGAAGGAAGTAAGTCCTTTTCCCATTTGAGCCCACCGGCCACACCATTCACAAATATTCTGGGAAGAAGCATTTAATGATCAATTTGTCACTCCTCCACAAGTATCCCATTCCTATTCTCCTAGTGCAGACCTTTGCCATCAAGACCCCCCCCCCACCTCCATACATCACATGACTCTCATCAAGGCGACAGAACCAAGCAGGTGGTGCTCCGACACCATCTTTGAAATCACGCCCCAATCTTTGGCATCTTTTAGGCATGTCCTAGCAAAATCAATTTTACTTTGCGGTTTGTGTTACACTCGGCTGCTTGAACAGCTTCAAGATTTTCAGCACCTCTGATAAATAATCCCATTTCTCCTTCGCCCGTTCTTGACGATGTTCTTTTGCCCACTCTTCCCAGCATTCCCCTGGGCAGAGTCCAATCTGCCCTCGGTTTGTGACACAGATGGGATCCCTCCTGCCATGGGTACAACATGGGTCCCTCCAGCCTCATTCAAATTCTTCAAAACCTGGACATTTTTCCCTCCTCTGTGCTTTGTGATGAGCAGCTGCACCTTCCCACCTACTGTACCTGTCAAGTTTAATCTGTCATTAGTAAGGGAGCTGCTGTCATCGCCGTGTCACCTCGAGGTGACATTGTCCCACAATACCGAGCTCCCGTTTCATATTGTTCAGATCTCTCAAAGC